GCAAACACGATGTTCTGCAGCTTCTCCGCGCAAGGCGATACGAAGAACCCGTCGATGTGTTCTCATAATGGCACTTGCAGAGCTCTAAGCAGTGTGTTTATAGCATAGTCAAAGAGCATAGTCAAGGACCTTTGGCGAAAGATTGCTTGTTGAACTCGCCACGTGCTGCGGCTGGGCCGCGACGTCCCGGCCAACGTGGCTGCGGACTGCTTCTTCGCTCATCCGAGGCGCCCCGTTTCTTAGGGCGCACCAAGATCACGCTGCCCATCGTCCAGTGCCGCGACCTCCAGTCGCTGACGCCGCCTCAGTCGCTGGCGTCTCCCGAGGACCTTGACAAACTGCGTAGCTTTGCCGCCGACCGTGACGCCAGAAAGATTTTACCGACCGTGTCGTCCAGTGCCTCATTTGCGGCCACAAGCGTCGTAGGGCGACGACAGAAGAGCCAGACGAGCCCCCGCGCCGCCACCTGCGCAAGCCACGGCCCGGCGAGCATATGAAGGAGATTGCCAGTCTCTACGTATGCGAAGTCTTTGTAAGAACCAAGATAACGCGAAACACGCTCATATATACAACTCGTTCCAGCACATGCTCACAGTTGAACAAAGTCTTGTTTCAACGAGCAAGATCGCCATTGCGAGACATACATTCTGCGCCAATCCAGCGCGCTGATTCGCCAACTCGTGACCAATCAGAATGAGATTTCTCTGCTGATTGGTCCATTTGGATTTGCAGATCGTCAGCTCGTACTGGAGACGCCCGGGTTCAACCCGCATGACAACATTGTGGGACACCTGCATGTGCGTTGCTTGTAGATTTCCGGAGCCAATGATGCACACGAGAAGCAGCCAAAGCCATTCAGGTCAATATGACGCCGTTTATCATTGGTCAAGCACGGCATCGCTGTCACATTGGCACTACGTATCTTTGGTGCACCGCTGTGAGTCGCGCAATGCGCTCGATGGCACTGGTTACTTGACCACCGACAAGGGTATCGTCGAGACCTGTGTACGTCGCTGCGTCGGCCTGGATCGAACAGCTGTTTTGAACACTGTTTTATGTTGTGGTGTGCCGTGGGCCAATGCCTCTCGAAACTACTCCGCATTGTCGGCAGCATTGAGAAACGTGGCGGCCACAGTCCGCGCAACATTACCGCTCATAGAATTTTGGTACTGCTGTAGCTTACGCGTTCGCCGTGGACAGGCCACTGGATGGCATGGCTGCTGGGTCAACTGCCGAGCCAAAACAGAATTTCAGGTGAGCCAGTTGGGCAAGTTTTCAAACGGTCGCATCAACAACGAGCAACCTACAATAGCTATCGCCTTGCATTGTTGCCATGGCTCTAACTCGCGCTAACGGCGAGTTCATCGACGACAAGCTTGCGGTCGTCGAAACGCAGGCGCAGGCGACTGTCGCAACGCTCAAGGAGCTCCGCGACGCGCATCGCGTCCTCAATCGGTTCGACGTTGAAGCCGAGCGCGACGACGCGCTACGAGCCAATAGAGCCCTCCAACGAGCCAAGACGGCGCTCGAGCGCGAGAACACCGAGCTCAAGGCCAAGCTTGCAGCTCTTACACGCGACCGTGATGAGATTCGGTTCAAGTTTGACGAGCTTCTTCTTGACGTGCGGTACTCGGTAAAGAGCGCGACGTACGACCGTGGCGAGGGCGATTTTCCGGCTGCGTCGGGACGAGCCATTGCTTCGCATGTCGTCGGCAAGCGAACGAGCGATGGCCCTGCGGCAACGAGTGCTGCGGTCAAGCGCTCCCGACGATATGGCGCTGGTGCAGACAAAGAAGAGGCAGTAGCCTCGGTCGCGCTTTTTCCGGCGTCCGCGCCTGCCGAGATGGCCCCATTGAGCGACGTTGCACGTCTTGAAGCGGGCATGGACTTGACGATGAACCTTGTTGACCGGTTTCTCTCGTACGGTCCATCCAAATTCTTGGCTGGAAGGCTCATGCGGCTGTAGTGAGCTCCAAGATGACCTGTGTGCAGCGACCAAATCATACTGCCGCATCCTTCCTGCATCAGTGCTGTCGTCGCTCATGGGATCTGGCGCTCCACCGCCATCGCCGGCAGCATACCTGGATATTCTCTCGACCGAGATTGTCGTGCTGCCGCTACTTCAAGAGTACGAGCTTTTCAGCTTGCATGACAGACTTCTGACGAGAATATAGAGACCACTGGAGCGTGACCATGGTCTTCCGTCTCGACGCAGCTACGACGACGCCGGCAACGATTGCATTTTTCGATACGTACGACAGTGTGCACCGCGAGCGCACGATTCACACCCAAGTGCGCAATTTTCTGGCGGCGGTGCAGCGCACGAGCCGTCCACGCAGTGACGCGCCGCTGAACCTTCTTGAGGGATTCGCCAAGGTGCCATTGCAGCGCGAGCCCCACGACAGTGGTGTCTTGATGCTGCTCTACGTGCAAACGGCCCTTCTCGCGTACAGTCGAGCACGAATGCAGCGTGAAAGCCTCGGCGTCCCATCGCCTGGCATCAACTTTGACGCATTGTGTACGTGGCTCCATCGCGCCATGGGCCGCGTGCCGGGTATGGTCCAGAAGAAGCGCAATGCGATGCTAGCGACGCTCCAATGCCGCATGTAAACCCGTCTGTCATTCATGTATCATTTGTATTTTCGCTTGAGGACGCTCGCGTATGCTGTCAGAAGCATAGGAGGGATGCGTCGGTAAAAACCCTCGGCTCCCTGCTCGGCTCCTCCACGGTGTACTGGATGTTGACTGAAGTTGATTGCAGCGCCTTTTGTACTTGCGCGTCATTCGACTACAAGTGTACGTAGTAGGAGCTAAGCGGGGAAAGCGCGTGGTATCCCCGCGTTGCAGGGATAAATGTCAGTGACAGGGATATAGGTAAAACATATTCGAGACTGGATTCCCTGCTCAAATAACCATTTTGCTGTGAGGTGAGCTTCTACGAGCCGTCCTTCAGTGCCACTTTTATTGTGTTGTCGATACGTCGCATCGCATGATGACCGCCGCCATCATTGTCATCGCAGCCACACAGGTACCGGTAGAGCACCACGAGCCAAAGAAGACTGACGTGCTCGGCGAGCTCTTGGTACCAGTACAATAGTACATTGCACTTCCATAACCATAACATGCAGTCTACAAGGAAATGACAATATTATGGCTGTGCACAGTATTGAGGCACTGGAAGCGACTCGTCCGTGTCTTCTGTCAGCAAATACTTTGGGTACGTCCGTGTACCCAACGTAATTGAATCATTTAATAGTATTATCTTTCCAATTGTATGCTCATTTCTTGCATTTAATTGTCGCGCCATCCGTTTCAGCGCCAAAGTGCAATGTCCGAGGCGCTCACGCACGTCGAGTGGGTCAACGGCCCGCTCGGCGTCTTTGTCATCTCCAACCGCGCGGGCTTGGCCGTCGTCTCGAAGCTCACGACGCCGCTACCCGCGCACTTTACCACTCCAGTCGCCGTCGGCGACGTCCTGATTGCCATCGATGACACGCCCGTCACGCCCGCGTTTGCGACCACGTTGCAGATGCTGCGGACCAAGGCCTCGGGCACGCCCCTGCGCTTGACGTTCCAGAGCCGGCGACACGACATTCCGCAATGCGACGTCCTCTGCAACGACGGCCACGAGCTGCTTTGGGTCGAAGATGCGCCGCTTGGCCTCTCGTTTGTCATGGACCCGTGCTCGCTCCTCACGGTCGTCTCCAAGTCGGTCCACGAGGCGTCGCCCGACGTCGGCGACATTCTCGTTGCAATCGGCGACGTCGACACGTCGGTCATGCGGTTTGAACACGTCATGGCGACGCTGAGCAAAGTGGCACGGCCTGTCACGCTGCGCTTTGTGAGCAGTCTTATGCCGGCGGCCGTCGCGCCGCTGTCCGAGGACGAGGCTGCGTCTACGACGTCATCGATAACGTCATCGACCAGCAAGCTACCAGGGCTTCGACGCGGCCCTAGTCACGTTGCGTACTTTACCGGTGGTCGCCTCGGGCTGGCGTTTAAAATCAAGGCGTTCCCGACCGTGAGCCAGCTCCTCGATACGACGCTGCATGACGGACTTGACAACGTGCTCGTTGGCGACCAGCTGGTGAGCATTAACGGCGAGAGCACGCAGCGCTGGTCCATGGAACACGTGATTGACCGCATCCAGAGCCACGACAATGCGACGACGGCGCCGCTGGAGCTTTTGTTTGTGACGCCCCCCGCCGCGCCCCCGGCACCACCCCGTCAACTTCCGAGCAACTGCTACGAGGTCGTGTACCATGGCGGGAAGCTTGGTGTGGTGCTCGTGGGCCGAAAAGGCGCAACAGAGATTGAAGACGTGACTGATCCGACGTCGGCGCCCGGCTTGGAGAAGGCGTTGGCCGGCGACCGCCTCGTCGCCATTGATGGTCAGCGCACGAACGACATGGCCTTTGACAAGACCATTGAGCGCGTCAAGCAAGCAGCGGCCAAGCCCGGAGGCGTCCGGCTGCTCTTCTTTCGACCCGAAAAAGCGTTCGGCGAGGACGTCCCGTTTGGTCTCTTTTTGCTCACGGCCATTGAAGCGCTGCTGATTTAGATCCTAACTTGGTGTAGTACATTCTTCGGTCTCTGCTTGAAAATGGTGCATATACATGCAAGGTTGCAGTAAAATATAACTACGCTAGACTTGTTCTATGGTTCAGGTTGGCGACCAAAGGACGGACAATCGTGGTGCACGTCGAGAATGACGATGGTGTTGGTGCGACAATGAAGACAGTTTGGCTACAGGTTTGGCTAAAGGATATGTCTCCGTCCACATTTCCAGCACTTGACCTCATCATCGTACTACTTGCATATACGATTTATAGAGAAAAGGGTGTGTGCTCATTTGACAATGCTGTACACGCCCTTTGCCGATAGTACAATCCATTAAATTGTACTCGAATCGGCGAACGTTCGCTCCGACGCTTGTCGACTCATCAAAACTGCGGCTCATTGTGATTGGCCAAAACGCAAAAGGGGTAGGGTGCAAGGACTGGTGCCAATGAGAAAGAGGCGACTCGACGCGATTCGAGGTCGCCAAGATCGAACAATGGCAGAGCGAACGAGCAAGCCAACAGCGACGCGCAAGGCGGTTGCGCCACGTAATCTACCTGCGCTGGTCATCGAGACGGACGATGCGTCGACGCCGCCTGCCAGCACCACGCCGCCCACCGACGCGCCAGCCGCCAAGGCCAAAGATGTCCAGCGCGACAAGCATACGAGCAAAAAAGCCAACGACAAGAAAGATCTTTGGCCAGAAGCGACTGTCCGCAAGCTCTTTGAGCTGCGTTACGACCCGAGCCAAGCGTCTCGCTTCAACTCCAAGTGCAATATGATCAAGAACTACGCCAACGAGTGTCTCGCGGCCGAGCTCAGCGGCATAGTCGAGCGCACGTTTACGGTCAAGCAAGTTAGCAACAAGGTACTTCGATGCGGGTGCCCTACCTCCTTTCGAATCGACATAGATGACGCGCCTGAAAGCAGCATGGACCGACTACAAGACATCAACGGCGAGCGACACCGAGCCAACTTTGCCGCCAGTGCACTTGGACATCATGGCCAAGTACTGGTCGGACACGCCTTGCGTGCAGCGCAAGCCCAAGACCAATACTGCGACGGCGCCAGGCAGTGCGACGCCGCCAAGCAGCACAACCACAAAAACCTACAAGAAGAGAAAAATCAAGCGAACGGAGACAGAGAGCAAGCCCGAGCCCGTCTACTGGTGCGATGATAGCGTGAGGAAGCTCTTGGAGCTGCGCTACGACCCAAGCCAAGCGTCTCAGTTCAACTCGACCAACAACATGACCAAGAAGGGCGCAAATCTGCGTCTGGCGGCCGAGCTGAGCCGACTCGTCGGTCGCACGTTTTCGGTCAAGCAAATCAGCAACAAGGTAAAGGACCAATCGATGCAAAAGAGCGTCCTATATCGTCGACATAGATCACGCGCTTGCGGACGACATGGGCCGCCTACCAAGCTTCACTCCTCGAGTCGCCTGAGAGCCCCCCGGACCCCGACACGCTTCCCATACACTTGGACGTTATGATGGCGTTCTGGTCGGACACGCCCAACGCGCAACTCGAGTCGTTGGCATCGACAAACAATGTCGACAATAGCAACGGCGACAACGGTATTAGTCCATTCCTTGTGGACCGCAAATCATTCATGTCGCACATGTCTGTAGACCAGAGCTCCTCCGAAAGCGAAGAAGACGTCATCCAGAAAAAACGCAAGACAAGTCAGTGCGACAAACGCAGTACCAAGAAGCCACGGTCCCCTCCCGAAGTCGTGAAAGCACGCGTCGCCAGCGTGCGCGACGAGTTGGTGCCGATGGGCCAAACGGTTGCCGAGTCGCCCACCGCCACGCTTATGATGCCAGGCTCGGCCACCCTCGACGATGTTCTCGGCGCCATCAAGGCGCAATCGACATCAACCAAGCACGTACTGGATGCTATTCAAGCGCAGTCCGAGTCGACGAAACATGTTCTGGACGCCATCAAGACACAATCCGAGCTGCTGGCACAAATGATTGCAGCTATGCACAAGAAATAAGTATTTTAGGCTGTTCATTATTGATGTAATTGAGGAAGACCAAACCGCTTGACGAGAAAGCTTCTTCCTTGGGTCCTCGCTGCAATAGTTACGCAATTTTAAATGTAAACTTGGTTTTTCTGTGGCACTTCACCCAAATTTTGTGACCTATGTATGAGTGGGACGTTGAGCATGCCAACACCTTTCCGCTTTCACACCACACGTGCTCTGTAGAGGCAAAAGAGAGGCTATTGGGAGTCATGTTATTGCTCGAGATGTCGTGAACAGTAAGCCTTTGTACATGCATTTACGGCGTGCCGGCGGCGCGGGCCGTCTTGTGCACGCCCGCGTACCAGAGAAGCTCCTTAAAGTAGCCACTGCTGATTGCCTCCAGGGCGTCGGCACCGACCGCGTCGTGCTGCACCGAGCCGTCTTCGCCGAGAAGCGCGTGGATGGTCGGGAGCGGGAGAATCTTGGGGATCGAAACCAAGCCGAGCTCGCCGAGGTACGGGCGCAGTTGGATGGCGGCGCGGACGCCGCCGTACGGGCCCATCGTGTAGGATGTGATACCGGCGACCTTGTAGTAAAACTCGTTGTGGTAAAAGTAGTTGAGGAGCGACGAGATGACGGGCGAGAACGTGTGGTTGTACTCGGGCGTCACGATCAGGACCGCATCGCTCTCGGTAAACTTAGCGTGGAGCTCGAGAAGCGCCGGCGACCGGTCGGCCTCCGGGATGTAGTCGAAGCGCGTACCAAAGAGCGGCACGTCCAGCGCAACGGGGTCAATGAGATGGACCTTGACACCAAGGGCTTCGAGCTGGGTCTGGACATAGGCACCGGCGCGGACGCCCATACGGCCCGGGCGGACCGAGCCGAGGATGACAGAGACAGTGAGGTTGGTCATCGTGATCGTAGTGCTAGTAGTAGTAGCGGGCGGAATTGAAAATGAGGCTTCGAAGAGCTGCAGGCATGGGGTCCTGCGAAGCACCTTCCTAACCGCGTGAACCGACAACCTTGGATCGTGCGCACCACGTCACGCGCCAATCACGTGCGTTAAATTGAATGGCAATAGCCAATCAGGGCGGCCGAAAAATCGGCGCCGCCGATATTTTAATCTGAAACTTTAAAAAACACTACAAACATCAAGTACACATTATATAATATTGTATGCGTGACCATCGCAGCGAGGAAGTTTCCTTGAGCGCCAAGGAAGAAACTTTCTCGTCAAGCGGTTTGGGATCCCGAGTGTACAAACGACTCCTGTCCTCTACATAGCTCCTCCGTGTTGGAGGCGATACATATACTTTCAGCTTGTAGCTAAATATGCAGCCATCACAGTATTGTCAATTTGAGGTTGGACATTAGCCTGTATGCAATTCGGTGTGGCGGACTCCAACGAGACGCTGCGCGCGGTACCACAGCGGGTCGTTGGTGTAGACAACAATGACGACGGCGGCGAGGAGAACGATGCCGACGGCCAAGTAGTTTTCTGTGAGCGGCGGTCGCGTCTTCTCAGCGGGCGCCGGCTTGGCTTCTTGGCGCAAGAGCGCAGCTTTGGGCGTTCCATCCAAAGGCGTTGCCACCGGCGCCTTTGTGGCCGCGAGCTTGGTCGTTGTCGGCGCGGACGTGGCGGTTTTTGGCGCCTTGGTCGTAGTGGGTGGCGGCGGCATCATCGTGTAGCCAGGCACGAGCGCTTGGACGCTGCTCGGGTCTTGGTACGGCACCCAGTAGAGCTGCTTGCACGAGTGCTTGTCCGTTTGGTTTGGCTCGAACGTGATCCCCGAGAAGTCGAGGTAGCTCTGCAGGGATCGCGCCGTGCCAAAGCTGTACACGTCGAGCTCGTCGCCGTCGAGTTCGCCCTTGAACGGCCAGCCGACCTGAAACTTGAAGCGATTTTCACCTCGGAGACGCTCAGTTGCCCGCATTGCTTCGTCGATTTCAATGGATTCAAACCTAGTTGATACATTGATACATGACAAGTTGTCCACATTTGAAAGAGACACACCGCTTGGGAACGCTCGTGTAGTTGTGGTACACGACACTGCCGGTGCGCGACGGTGAGTACAAGTCGTAGCCGTGCGTCCAGAGGTGCGACGCGCGCAGGAACTCTTCGCCGTCAAACATCCAGAGTGTGTGCGAGTCGATCTTGACGCGCCTCTCGGCGTGGCACTTGCCGAACGAGAGCCCCGCGCCCCAGAGCGCCGTCATCTGCGGGTACTTGGGTTGTAGAATGAGGTCGGCGCCAATGTTGCGCACGAGGCCGTTCCCGCCCCGCATCGTCTGGCAAATGTGCGGCAAGTGCTGTGGCGCTAGGGATGGCAACGGGAGATGAGTAACGGAGGCGGTGGATCTGTCGTACCTTTGTTACTGCCGTCGGGCAAGATGAAATCGTTGAGGTCGTGGAGGTAGGTGGTGAGGATCGCCATCTCATTCTGCGTCGTCTTCCAGTCGTCGACGAGGCCGAGGTCCCAGTCGATGGTGAAGATGCTGTGGGCGTCGAGCTGAAGACAAAACTCTTGGTCGCCGACGAGCTTTTGCTGGTAGTGTCGGGCGAGCGTCGGCCCGCGCGACTCGTCGGCGCGGCGCGTGTCGATCTTGATCTGGTCCTTGTACTTGCAGTCGACGTCAGGCCACTGAGCGTTTGCCAGTGCGCAATATGACTCGAGGCACGTCGTCTCGTCTTCCGGGCTCACTTGATCGACGACGCCAAAGTACAGGCGGTCCGGGTGCTTGGCGCGCAAGAAGCCGGTGAAGACAGTCTTGCCGCAGCGCCCGCCGTCCCGAAAGGCCGAGAGACCGACAAAGATGTCAAACGTCGGTGGCACGATCGGCGGCGGCGGCCGCGCGCTTGCGAACGCGGGGTCCAGCGGGCGGTTTTGGCCCTCGGGGTACACGACGAGATCGGTGTTGGGCTGCTTGTTCTCCGGGTCGTACGGCACCTTGCCGTGGTTGACATATGAGAGCGTGTGCGAGACGCCAAAGGGCGTCGGCGTCGGGAAGAGGTCGGCGACGGGCTCGGACGCGTAGGCGGCGGCCATCGCAGCGAGCAGCACCGTCGGCCGCAGCATCGCCGTCGTGTCAATTCCAAGTGCAAACTCCAAGTGGCAGGAGCCCGTGAAAGATGGTACGCCAGACGGTACATATCATTTTCTAGAGGTTTGGTACCACACTCTGCCACGTATGGCTAAACCGACGCAACTTGTTTCCACTGCCACATTTGAGAGAGGCCACCGCCTCGTGAAGGGCTTCATAGTATCGCAATGGAGTACAGTGTAAGGACATCATTTCTTAGTTAGTTGAAGCGTAGATTGTTGTTACGCAGCTTGCTTTTCTGGTGTCCGTTGTTCGCGCCGTAGTCGCCGCTGATCTGGACACCGATCGATGCGCGACGGAGCCGGACGCCGTCTTGGCTTGTGTTAGTATATCGGCACGGCCCTTCTTCTTCGCCAAGTAGAGTGTCGTTGCACCGCTCTGTCGCGATGGGTTGTATGGAGGGAGACCCATTATTAGAGCTATCATTAGGCACCTTCATCGAGACGAAAGCCGTGTCCGCTCTCAACGGCGATTGAGAAGGGTGTCTGATTTTGCTACAACGTCATCACCTGATACCTCAAACGAGCGTTAGAGGGTTCACGCTTCGGAACGTCGACAAGGGTGGTCAGGTGCACAAGCACCTTGAATCATTTGGGATATTTAAAACGAAGCGTTGTGTTTGCACCGATTAGGAGTCTGGTGTTCGTTTCGCCGTAACGTTGGGCTCAACCCTTCACACGGTTTCCTCAAGCGCGCCAATGTCGGTGGAGCGGACACCAACCGCGTCGTGGATCGTCGCCGAGGTTGCAGTGCCGACGACCCGGTGGCACAAGCTCCTCGACGCCCTTGGCTTTCTCTACCTCCTCTGTGCCGTCGGTCTCGCGACGGGCGTGCTCACCATCTACGGCGCATACCTTGAAAACAATCTGTTTTGGCCGTCGTTCCTGTCGTCGGGCATGGCGAGCGCGGTCACGGACCTCTTCAACCTCGAGTTGGCCCGCACTTCGAGCGTCGCCAGCTTGGATCTTACGTCGATCGTGCTGCCCCAGCGCTACCCCCGCACCAGTGCGCTGCACATATCTGCGAGCTACGCCCGGGAGGTGCTGCTGACGGAGCGGACCGACGACCTCGCAGCCGCGATCGTCAGTATTCGCGAGCTCGCCCCGGCCGAAGTGACGTTTACGATGACACAGTACTGCTGGGTAGATCTCGACAAGCGATGGGCGCTCGCGCACACCTTTCGCCGCCAAGCGCGGTGTGAAGCTCGGTACGGCACCAACGCCGCTGTGCACTTGGAAGCCTTTTTGCGCAACACGGATTTGCCAGCGTGGCTCGTTTTGTACGAGCAGTTCTTTGACGCCATGATTATAGACGCAATCTCGGTAACGCCAGCGGGGGCGTCGTGGCTGCCATTGCTCGTCGCCGAGCCGTGGGCATCAGTGATTGACGAGACAAAGGTGTGGACGGACGCGGGCTGCTCCACGTTCACTCTTTGCTGGAGCAACCTCCGTCAAGTGGGCTTGGCCGAAACCATCGGCGTTGTCAGCGCGGCGGGCGTGACCACGACACTCCACATCAAGACGATCGCACCTGTGAACCGGTACGCGCTGTGGTCGACGCTCTCCATGTACGGGGCCTTTGAGAACGACATGGGCAACTTCTACCTCGGCGTCAACGACAGCCTCGTGACCAACAGTCCGACCTTTTTCGGCCACACACTACCACAAGCCATCGAAATGTACAACGTTCCGTATCCGCTCAATGGAATCAACCAAGCGCTCCATGACCACCTCGGGTCCCTTGGGTCGGTTGATCTTTGGATGCTTCGCCCCCCGCCGAGTCTCTTAGCCTACGTCGCCGCCTTTCAGCACCATCTCCAAAACGCAAAGCAAGCGTCTTCGGACGTAGCAACAGCCTTGGATGCGTTCGAAACGACGGTCCTGCACCCGACGCCGCGCGCGTGGCAGTCAACCGACCTTGTCTTCCTCGGTGGCAACCCCATGTGCGCCTTTGGGGCCCCCTACAGCTTTGTACAAGAGTCCTTTGGCTTTGATGACACGTGTGCGACCCAGCGTCCGTGGACGAGTACGTGGACCAGCGCGTCGATCCTCTTTGCCCTTTCCATCGAGAGGAATCATGGGATCGATGTGGCGGCCATCTGTCATTCGTCGGGCTTGGTGCTCGCAGAAGCCGCCTCGTGTCAGCGCACCTTGTCGGTGGCAGTGGCCATGTTCGACCGCTTACCACCCCTGGCGCCGTTCAATGTCACGGGGATGATGGCGGACGTGGAAGCCCTAACCCTCTCGACATTGCAGTTTGTTCAAAATATATCTTCCAGTAGCAGCGCCGTCGACGTGCGCAGTCAGCTGTTGCTGCCGCACGACGCGCTTCACTGGCGTGTCTTTGGCTGGACGAGTCTGTTCGAGTGGGCGCTCGGGCAGCGCGAAGCGGTGGCGTTCGAAGGCGATATGCAGACATTCCACCTTCTCTCGTACGCCTACACCCCGATCGATCAATTTGCGAATCCGCTCGACGTCGGGCAGAGCTTTGCGTTCTACATTCACGGCGTTTGTGGCTACGTCACTCTCGCGTTGGTGGTCGTCGCCGCCATTGTCGCACTTGCCATGTGCCGACAAGCCACCGGCAGCCCGACGCCGACCGACTGGCTGCGCTGGCACCGCGTTGCCGGCACAACGTGGGTCGGGCGCCCGCTGCTCGTTGTGCGTGCCCTGGCTGCCACAGCGTGTCTCTCGACCGCGCCTGTCGGCCTCAAACCAGTGGTCGGCGGTGGCAGCACCTTTGTGTCGACGCCACGCACGCTGCTCGAGTCGATGGTGCTCGCCGGAGAGTCGCTCTGGCTTGTGTACGTCTTGAACGAACTCGTGCTTTTTTGGACAAGCCGGCGCACACGTCAGTTGGCGCCAATCGTGGCCACGCTCGTCTTTGGCGTTAGCGTCCTTCTTGACGCCATCTGGCCACCGACCGTGTCGGCGTCGATCCACCGCAACTGCCGAGCCTTGCACGTCGACCACGACCTTTTATGTTCGAGCGGCGTTGTCACGATTGGGTACATCGATCGACTCGCCGTGTACCTGGGTGTGCAGTGCCTTGGCGGTCTTGTGTGCACGGTTCTGTGTCTCCTCTGGCCGTCTCCGAGTGCATCGGTCGTTGCTCCGTCGCTTTTACTGCCGGGCTATGCAACTGTGTATTTCTGCGACAGCAGTAGTAACAGCTACGAGTGGCGCATGGACCGCGTGCGGGCCGCACTTAGCGGCCTCGTCCTGTTTACTTACAATGGCACGCTGCATGTGTTTGATTATACTCTCTGGCGCTGCCTCTCGGCGAGTGAACTTGGCATGCGCGAAGCTGCGGTCGCGACGTTCTCGCTGCCCCATACAGAGCACACCGTGCGTGGCGACAGCCCCGGCCTGGCGCACATGCGTAGCGTCGCGAGCTTCCGCGGCATGCGCGTGCTCATCAAGACGCGCTGGTTCGTCCGCGGGTCGTGGGCCCTTCTCGGGTTGGCGTACGTGGTGGTCTCGCTCGTCGGCAACGTCTACTACATGACAGTCACGTCCCCGCGCGTGCTCGCGAATGACTTTTACTGGGGCAATTTCAACAGCTCGGGCGGCCA